CTCCCTCCCCCTGCCCCGCCCTCTTCCATGGTGCCCCGCCCCTCCCTTGCACTGCCACGCCCTCTTCCACAGTGCCACGCCCCTCCCTTGCACTGCCACGCCCTCTTCCACAGTGCCACGCCCCTCCCTTGCACTGCCACGCCCTCTTCCACAGTGCCACGCCCCTCCCTTGCACTGCCACGCCCTCTTCCACAGTGCCACGCCCCTCCCTTGCACTGCCACGCCCTCTTCCACAGTGCCACGCCCCTCCCTTGCACTGCCACGCCCTCTTCCACAGTGCCACGCCCCTCCCTTGCACTGCCACGCCCTCTTCCACAGTGCCACGCCCCTCCCTTGCACTGCCACGCCCTCTTCCACAGTGCCACGCCCCTCCCTTGCACTGCCACGCCCTCTTCCACAGTGCCACGCCCCTCCCTTGCACTGCCACGCCCTCTTCCACAGTGCCACGCCCCTCCCTTGCACTGCCACGCCCTCTTCCACAGTGCCACGCCCCTCCCTTGCACTGCCACGCCCTCTTCCACAGTGCCACGCCCCTCCCTTGCACTGCCACGCCCTCTTCCACAGTGCCACGCCCCTCCCTTGCACTGCCACGCCCTCTTCCACAGTGCCACGCCCCTCCCTTGCACTGCCACGCCCTCTTCCACAGTGCCACGCCCCTCCCTTGCACTGCCACGCCCTCTTCCACAGTGCCACGCCCCTCCCTTGCACTGCCACGCCCTCTTCCACAGTGCCACGCCCCTCCCTTGCACTGCCACGCCCTCTTCCACAGTGCCACGCCCCTCCCTTGCACTGCCACGCCCTCTTCCACAGTGCCACGCCCCTCCCTTGCACTGCCACGCCCTCTTCCACAGTGCCACGCCCCTCCCTTGCACTGCCACGCCCTCTTCCACAGTGCCACGCCCCTCCCTTGCACTGCCACGCCCTCTTCCACAGTGCCACGCCCCTCCCTTGCACTGCCACGCCCTCTTCCACAGTGCCACGCCCCTCCCTTGCACTGCCACGCCCTCTTCCACAGTGCCACGCCCCTCCCTTGCACTGCCACGCCCTCTTCCACAGTGCCACGCCCCTCCCTTGCACTGCCACGCCCTCTTCCACAGTGCCACGCCCCTCCCTTGCACTGCCACGCCCTCTTCCACAGTGCCACGCCCCTCCCTTGCACTGCCACGCCCTCTTCCACAGTGCCACGCCCCTCCCTTGCACTGCCACGCTCTCTTCCACAGTGCCACGCCCCTCCCTTGCACTGCCACGCTCTCTTCCACAGTGCCACGCCCCTCCCTTGCACTGCCACGCTCTCTTCCACAGTGCCACGCCCCTCCCTTGCACTGCCACGCTCTCTTCCACAGTGCCACGCCCCTCCCTTGCACTGCCACGCTCTCTTCCACAGTGCCACGCCCCTCCCTTGCACTGCCACGCTCTCTTCCACAGTGCCACGCCCCTCCCTTGCACTGCCACGCTCTCTTCCACAGTGCCACGCCCCTCCCTTGCACTGCCACGCTCTCTTCCACAGTGCCACGCCCCTCCCTTGCACTGCCACACCCTCTTCCATAGTGCCACGCCCCTCCCTTGCACTGTCACACCCTCTTCCATAGTGCCACGCCCCTCCCTTGCACTGTCACACCCTCTTCCATAGTGCCACGCCCCTCCCTTGCACTGTCACGCTCTCTTCCACAGTGCCACGCCCCTCCCTTGCACTGCCACACCCTCTTCCCCAGTGCCACGCCCCTCCCTTGCACTACCACACACTCTTCCATAGTGCCACACCCCTCCCTTGAACTGTCATGCCCTCTTCCAGTGCCACGCCCTCCCTTGCACTGCCACGCCCTCTTCCATAGTGCCACGCCCCTCCCTTGCACTGTCACACCCTCTTCCATAGTGCCACGCCCCTCCCTTGCACTGTCACGCTCTCTTCCACAGTGCCACGCCCCTCCCTTGCACTGCCACGCCCTCTTCCACAGCTCCACCCCCCTCCCTTGCACTGCCACGCCCTCTTCCACAGTGCCACGCCCTTCCCTTGCACTGTCACGCCCTCTTCCACAGTGCCACATCCCTCCCCTGCACTGCCACGCCCTCTTCCACATTGCCACGCCCCTCTCCCGGCACTGCCACGCCCTCTTCCACATTGCCACGTCCTTCCCCCGGCACTGCCACGCTCTCTTCCACACTACCACAGCCCTCCCCTGGCATTGCCACGCCCCTCTTCCACATTGCCACGTCCCTCCCTCGGCACTGCCACGCCTTCTTCCACAGCAACACACTTCTCCCCCGGCACTGCCACGCCCTCTTCCGCATTGACACGCCGGTCCCCCAGCATTGCCACGCCCTCTTCCACACTGACATGCCCCTCCCCTGGCACTGCCACGGCCTCTTCCACATTGGCCCTCCACCCCGGTAACTGTCAACAGCCGTCCCCTCGTCCCGCCCGCAATCCTACCCTGGGGAGGTGTCCAGCGCGACGGAGACGAGCGAGCTGCCGAACTGCCGCGTGTCCCACAGCTTCACCTCTCGCTCCCTCATCTGCAAGAGCAGAAAGACACAGGCTTGTGGGTTGCGTACACGCACACACACGCACGCACACGCACACACACACACGCATGCACACGCACAGTCCAGGGGAACCGGCCTGCTCTCCACTCCAGCCATGGCTGTCCCAATAACCCGCAGCCAGCCCCGTGCCGGGGGCTTTGGCTGTTACCACCTGGGGGTGCGGCCTATGCCAGGGCAGGTGCCTGTCCAGCCTGGGATACACGGGGCTGGGGCTTGTGCTACGGTCCAAGGATGCTGGGGGCCAGTGGGATCAGAGCAGACTTCCCCTGGTGGGGAGCGGCTGCAGGCTTCAGGGCCTA